TGGTCCCAGCATAGCGTTTGTTGTACCACAAGATTGACCATCAGCTGCATAAGGCGTATTAGCCAGCATAGTTACAAAATAAAATACAAACAACGCATTTTTATAAACTTGACTCGTATGCTATTCAACATACATTTTCAAAAGTGATCTTGAGTGACCGTTAAAGAAAATGACGAGACTATATTCTGCTATTATTCAAACTGCGATAAGTTAGACGTGTTTGTAACTGTTTTAATTCGTCTCGAAAAGAAAACTGTTGCTACCGTTCCAAAGCATCTCCTGTGTCGTTAAAATTTGGTGCGTACAGACAATGATATAATTTGTTAATGCCTTTTGGATATGGACAGGAAATAGAGCTTCTGACTTCGAGTCAAAACAGCCGGAAGAGTTGGAAAATTCTGGACTTAGGCTGCATTCATTATGTATACTGCAGGAGGGGGCAGAGGATATTTCTTTAAGGGGCAAAAGTTTTTAAGATCCCCCCCACATCATTCAGAATTTTTGACAGCCCTCCCCTCTTGTCCAAAAGAAAAAATGATAACCCCCTCCCCAAATCTTGACGAGAAAAGTAAATTATAGGCAATATTATGAAATGGTGGAGAGACTAATGTTTAGAAACAAAAGGTAACCAAAGGTTCACAGATATTTTTAGGCTCGATTTCCGCCGCTCACTTGTTCCTCTCGGAGAAGAGAGTGTTGGGTGGAGGAGCGTGGGCTCATTTCCCGAACAAGCACACTACGTTTTGAGGCCCAAATTCCATCTCAAAGCAATTAGGCAACTGAGGGAAGTGACTACCTTTAGTGGGGATGCCCTTGAACATGTAGATTGTGCTATTCACAATTTAGAGAAGCAAAGTGTTGATAATGTTGTTGATGTTGTTGTTGATGATGATGATGATGATGATGATGATGATGATGATGATGATGATGACGATCAAGGGAACGATAATGTTGTTAATGTTGCCTATGATGATGATGATGATGACGGTGATGATGGTGGAAATGAAGAGGGTACTAAGAGATTTGGTGACAATGATGAGGTTTAGAACATTCCTTTACAAAGAAAGTTGTAATGTGTTTTCAAGCATTAAATTTAATAACATTCGTCAGCAAATTCTAAACTTGTGATTTTCAAGTCATGTATGCTATTTGAGCCATCAAGCAAGCGTCTTATTTTTCCTCGTATAAATGGCCCTATTGTCTAACCAGCAAAAACAGCCGTTTCCCCTCGCTCCTCTGTTTTCGCAGGCTAGCTATTGTCAATTACCACCAATCAGATCGTTTCCTGCTCAAATCGAGCAGGTAGCATACATTTATTTTCCTGAAACAGATTTCAAACGGCCGTCTCTGGGGAGGTCCGAGAGAGCGGCGCCAAATAGAGCCTAAATTTGTAGGTGATTTTTCAAATGCTTTTAATGTATAAATATTAGAGAGAGGGGGATGTTTAAAATTTTGGAAAACCTTTGAAAATACCGTAAAAGTAAGTACCGTCGCGCAAACTCGTAACGCAAAAAAACTCTCCGTTAAATCGCCCCTCCAAATATAAGCCCCGGGGATTTGTACTTGGAAATTGCCCTCAAATGAAAACAAACAAAGCAGAAACTGTTCGGTAACACATACATTTTTGCATTTGCCGAAGAACTATTACGTGCTCTAAATGATTGCAGTCAAAAAGTGTCACTTGCTGTTGAGTAGTTCACTCTTAACTCTTGGCTTGGATTTCGGTCGTTCCATATAGAAAAAGTACTTGCATGGCTGAGTTTTAGTAAGGTCTACGTCCTCAAGGCGAGTTTCAGTAAAAACCCTCTGCAAATTATTGACATAAAATTTCCCTCCAACTATAAGCTAGCCCAATCGATTTGGAGACGTAAATTTCCCTCCCATGCAGTATAAGTCCGGCCGATTTTGATACGCAAATTTCTCCTCCGTATATAAGCCCCCCCAAAAGGGCCTTTGAAAAATATCAGCCCCGGGGCTTACTGTTTTCGGAATTTTACACGTTAGATTTGGGGCTTGTTCAAAATTAAAAGTATGAAGAGAATACAATAATTCGTATGTGTAATCAAATGGTGACGAGTGAAATTAGGGAATAATTTCACGCGCGTTTTGTCCAAATCCTAATAATTTCCCCGAGCCTTTAGGTGAGGGAAATTATTAGGATTTGGACAAAACGCAAGTGAGATTATTCCCTAATTTCACGAGTATACCATTTGATTACGTATTAATATCATGGGTGACGAATTACGTTAGCAATCGAGGATTTTTGACTTGTTTATCCTGGATCGTATCGATCGATCGTGAACTTCACTCTCTCAAACGTTTAGAGCTAAAATTTGGCTTAAGTTTTCAGAATTTTTCCACAACATACCTCTAAGAATCGTTCTTGATGTGCTCTTTCGAGTGTTCAGGTTTTCTAAAGCGTCTTTTTATGCCCCGACATCTTCATTCATGACATTTTAAAACTTCCTCGCCATCTTGAAACGGAGACGTACGGCAGGTTGCCATGGCAATTTGGTAATTTCACATGTGAAATTACAAATTAACGCTGAAATTTCGCGCCAAAATTAAGGAGTAATTCGTCACCTATGATATTAGAGCGGTTTTCACTTGACTGTCGAATTGGGATTGGTTTTGGTTTTGGTTTTGGTTTTACTACGTCCTTTGGTTGGCTAGTGTATTTACTTTGGTTTTGGTTTTACGACAGTCAAGTGAAAACCGCTCTAGTAGACAAATACCAGATAGTCCAGCACCACAACAAGGTGCGGCTCTGAGCCCCGAGAGGACTAACTGGTTCCAGGAGCCGGCTCCTGTTGGTTCAGTGTGTATAACTTTTCTACCCTTTTCCCCAAAAAACAACCAGAATGCTCCCTCTTAAGCCCAATCGGCATGCTGAATTTTCGTTTGAAAGATTTAAGTCGTCATGTTCTTTATGTGACTAAAATACCCAAGGAATAGGAGCTGTATCAGGTAGAATCGTCCCAGCTGGCGATTGTGTCGGTTTATCCCAAGCAAATTTAGTTTCGCCGAAGTTACTGTGTAGAGCGTCGACTAATTGCGATGCGTGTAATCGAGTTGAACTAAAATAGTTAACTGTGCTGAGTTGAGACGCGATGAGATGATTGGAAAAACCGTGCATGGAAGGCTGAATTGTAACTCGGTGAAAATAAGTAATTTTATAAAGTGGGTACGATTTCTATTTTCAGTCAGGTGCCTCGGTGCCTTTCATTTGCACAAAAAGTTTAAACATATATCTACCTGTTGCTAAGGAGTGCATTTTGCATTGGAGACTGGAAGCTTTCTGTAATACTGCACCTGATAGTATAAATCAAAGCCATTAGTCATTTTTATCAGCAGACTATATAGGCTCCTGTCATTATAAAATTTCTTAGACAGGTCCCCTACCCCCAGAAAAAAAACTGATTGCCATTGTGCTGCCTTTCATTGTTCCAAGACATTATCAACAAGCGACTCACCCTGCGTAACTTTTCTCGAGTGCAGCTGTGTATCTGTCGACTACCGAGCGAGCTTCTCGTTCTTCCAAAGGAAATTCAGATAAGAATGCTGCTCCTCCCCTTGTTATTCCATCGACACTTGAATAGGGTAAAGTTTACGTTTTGTGGACATGTTTATAAACTCCATGACTGTGTTTAAAACCGGCTACGTTTGCCGGATTAAGAAGATAACTGGGTGTGTAATCGCAAAAATTTAATGCGTTCCTCACTGCTGAGCTTTCTAAGTAAGTGATCCTCTCCGGCTTCATGAGTTCGTTCGCAAATTTAAGGCGTACTGATTCACAGGCAAGTACGTCGGGCAAATCGTCATCGTAAACTTTCATTTCAGCCATGTCAATGTCATTTTTGAACAGAGCAAAAAAGTCCCCAGGGATAACTTCGAAGACATTTTTATCGGGTCTTTTCCAGGCAAGTTTTACTTGAGGGCCATTATTATTTCTAATTTCGCCCCGAGCATACACTATGTCTATATAATACGCATGTTGGGCTAACAACTTCACACTTAAGTTAGAAGATTCTAGAGATTCTTGAAGCTTGCCTGTTGGGTAGCCGTGTGCGATTTTCGCTCCCCCTTTAATCCCTTTCCAACTAATGCTTTTACTTAGCCAAAACTCCACAAATCCATTAGTCTCAACAGAGAAAAAATATTCGCCAGTTACATTGGGTCGAAGAAAACCCAGCAAGCGAAGGCCGGTAACTTGTTTTGCATTTGAAGAGATGTTAACATTGTCCACGATGCCTCGTCTATCTGGTGCCTTGGGAAAGATTGGAAAATTGCAAAGTTTTTCGAGACTTTGTAGGCACCTCCCTTCCCATGTATGCCGATTCAAACCTTTAAAGAAGTGGTTTGTTTTCGTGTCGGTTTCAACTTCATTCACCAGCAACTGTTCCGGGAGCGCCTTAGTACGTTGGCGACCAGACCAAGAGAAAAGAACCAAAATTACATTCAGGGTGGTGAGGCCAACAGCTATCACTAATGACGTCCTAATACGAGATATGCTCACAAATGATGTCTTAACGCGAGACATACTCTACCATCAGCAGGTTTTCTTAGGCGTACTGCATTATTTTATTTACTTTATAGGTGGTTTAAATGCAATCTCGGGAAACACACATAACATTGGTGAAATGAACAAATGCTGGTGGACAAACAAAGCGAGCTAATGAGCGATCTTTTGTTTACCGTCCACCAGCATGGCGGCGATGGCGCAACGTGAAAACCACCTACTTGCGTGCGGCACTCTCTGACGTAACGACCGCATACTTGGTTGTTTCCATGTATGTTTCGAAGGAGTCAGTCTCTCATTGATCAATCTGACAAAAGAATCATTAGTCAGTAAACAACGGAAAAGCTTGGCCGCCTTTGACCATTATCTATCAATGTTAGCTTTAGTTGCAACTTACTTAAACGATGGATGGAGAGCGCGTCGAGAAAGATGAGAGGGAAAAAAACCGTCATCGAATGCGTTTTTAAAAAGTTTCACTTCCACTAGTTCCCTGACCGTCCAAATTAAATGACATTTGGAAACGGTGAGTTACACTGATCAAATAAATTAGCGATGCGGCACTGCAAGCACATTTTTCGGACGCCTTTGTTTAGTTCTCAGTGAGGCATACTATTTAAAATTTGATTTTTTTTTTCGTTATTGCAAAGTGGGGGGAAAGAAATGTAGTACTGAAATTTTATCGGCCAATCAGGAATGTCGTTTGCTCCGTCCGATGGCAGACGGAGTTTAAAAATCTCTTAGGGTTAATTTTCTGTCTGTCTTCTTTCCCTCACTAACTCCCCATCGTTCTCTCGTTTGACCTCGGTTCATACATACATACATAACTTTATTTAACTCGGATTTTAGAGTAGCCAAAGCTGTATCTCCGATTAATTACATAAATACAACATCACACTTAATTAGTTATGATGAGGTTTAGAACATTCCTTTACAAAGAAAGTTGTAATGTGTTTTCAAGCATTAAATTTAATAACATTCGTCAGCAAATTCTAAACTTGTGATTTTCAAGTCATGTATGCTATTTGAGCCATCAAGCAATTTACTCAGCTCTAATTTGGGAAACTATTCCAAAAGAATTGAAGTCTCTTAATAGTTTTGCCTTTAAAAGAAACTGTAAAACTTTTCTATTACAAAACCAATGATAGCAATGATAGCATTTTACTACTACGACCAGAATTCATATTAAAATTTGGTAATCCCAGTGAGGTTTGAATAACAAAAGCCCTAATTTGCACAAGAAATCAAAACCTTGAAGGATCCTGGTCATGGCAGTAAAATGACGCCATCATGCAAATGACCACTCCTGAAATGACCTATTGTCAAAGACGCATATTTACTGCATGCATTCTGCGAGAATATTTAGTATAAAGCCGACGTAACACCCGACACACGTTGACAAAAGCAAAAAAATTCCCGGACAAGAGGGTGGACCGGGCCCTACTAAGCCCACCCTAAATCCGCCCTTGAATTAACATCAAGACAAAAACAAAAGGAGGTCATCTAATTTCTTTGCCACATTCCCGCTTTGGTGTGTTTGTAGTGAAAAATCCATGGCGCACGTTTGCGTTCTATTTCCAGTCCTCCCTTAACTGCACCGTCCATTATATCCCAGTCCTCACCACCCCACGTGACTTTGTTGAGGAATTTTTTTGAAAACCCTCCGAAGGATTCCCAATCCCTTTTGTACATCGCTATCGTCCCATAACTCAAGTGATACCAGACGCCTACAGGCATATTGCTACTGCCACCACAATGCAGAAAGATGATTTGAGGAGCGTAGACTGTCTTTCCTTTGAAACAATGCTGAAATCAAAATAAGGTAATTGATTAGACAAAGGTGAAAGACCAATCGGAGGACTATGTTTACCTGCCACATCATCAGTAGCTACCTTACGTAACGTTTTCGGGGGGAAGACTTCATTTTCAGATTTATCCGGATTAGTGTGGACCGTCCACTTAGCTTTTCTAGCCCCTGATGGAGGCTCCCCCCCCCCCCCCCCCCCCTTTTTTTTTTTATGTTTTTTGGGGGGGGTAAGTATGGTTAATTTTTATTTTTCATTTTTCTAGCTTTGGAAGGGAACCGCCGGTACTCGCT